AAAAAATCTGACCTAGGTCCCAACTGAGCCCCAAGTTAGCATACAATTGCTAAAGCTGTGCTACGTACTGTACAATAGCTAGCCAAAGAAAAGGAAAACCAAAAATGCTCAAAGTTGACCAAAAATAAATTGTATTTATTTATGTCGCATATATATCCTGTGACCTCACTCTTTGTACTTTGTGCTGCATTTTATGCTGTTTTCTAGTTAGTTAGTTGGTTAGTGGACCAAACAACTTGTCAACGTGTTAAACAGCCGATTCATCTAGGATGGAAATACTCTGCCTCAGTGTAGGCTATTGAAGTATTCAGGAGTCCAAGTCCTGTTTTCTGTGCAGTCACTTTGTACTAACAGTGGATTTTTCAGTCTGGACCGACTCCAAGCTGCTCCACATTTGTCTTGTGGGACATTTAATTGGAATTATTCAGCAGGCTTGAATCAATAGAGCTGGCCTTGTGTCTGTGCTGTCATTAAAGAATCTTACTGGAGAGGCTCCACAGGCTCAGCTGTGGGTAAAACTGGCAGCGTTTAAACCATTTTACTTTTTCTTTTTTTTCTTCAAGTCTTTAAGACACAGTAAAAGTTGAAACTTTTTTTTTTGTGACTTAGTGAGAGGTGACACTGTGAATTCAGGATGTGAACAGACCTTGTGGATGAGATTGTTTGTGTTTGTGATGGTGCTGTTGCAGGAGGTTGGTTTATGATGCTCAGGGGTGGGGAGGGTGCTGGAGGATGGGGGGCGGGGGGGTAAGGTGTCTGAGAATTGTTTTGCTCTGGGGCAGATTTGCTCCCTGGTTGTCAGGTTTATGACATAAATATCTCTCTGCAGCCACACAGCACTGACTGTACACAGGCCTGATTTGTAGGCTGGTCGGTGTTGCAGCATCTTTGCTCCATGGTTTCTGTGTTTGGAGGTAGATTTATGCTGATGCAGCATTTGTATTTAAGTAAGTACGTTTTATTAATCCCATTTGGAGCAATAAAATAAAAATTCAACATTCTGATGACAAGTTTTATATAAAAATCAAAGTAGAAGTCACCAGAAACAAACCGACTAGTTCAAGTGGTTCTGAAAAAAAAGAAGAAAAAAAACAACAAAATAATTAATTAGCTACTTATTGTTTCTTTATTTTTCAGAAAATCAAAATATCAAATACAAGGTTAGCTTCTGGAAATTATAGTTACGGGTTAGTTAGCTATAAGGGCTTAGCTGTTATCTACCCCTTTAGCTAGCCGTTAGCTCTGACTTGCAATATTTTCCTAACTCCTAGCTATAATATTGGTCACCCAAGTTTTCTTTTATCCAGCTACTATATATTTGTCATGTCTTAGCCACTTAAAAGAAGGTATACTTTTTCACAGCTATTAAAAAACCTTTTTAGCATTTAGCAATTTTCTGGCTCAGAATAAACAGTTTCTGTCTTGTTCTGTTTTTCTTCTTTCTGTTTTGGGTAACTTGGCTAACACTAACGGTCAGTCTGGTTTAGTCTTCATCATTTTATTTAATCAGCTTTTGGCGCTCATCTGTCTCTTAGCCGTTAGCTATCTCCTTTGCTAGCTTATAGGAATAGTGATTGGATCATTTTTGCTACATTATAGGCTAATTTCTAGCTGTTATATGGTCTTCATTGCCACTTAAAAGTATGTGTTCTTTTTTGTGACATTCTTTAACTTTTTGACCGCAGAGGTCATTGTTCTCCAACTTAACTCACTGTTAGAGGAAGCTGCTCCCTGTCTGTGGAATTAAGGTTAGGCTTCAAAATGGAGCACCTGAATGTGCCATTGTTTTGGATGAATAAGTTTGTGTCCCGTCTGAGCTCTGGAGAAAAAAATAAATAAATTCAGGTCTACTTTCTGCTCACGATAACAAGCTAACAAAGCTCATGGGAATTTGTGTCCTAATAATACCACGAATACAGCAAACAGGTCAAACAGTAACATAGAAATGTTCTTAAAAAGCATATAAAAAGGAGACCTTTTTAATTGTTTAAAAGACTTTTAGTTTCAACATTATTAACCTTATTTCCAAATGTGTTGCCAATAAAAGTAAAATAAAATTGACAGCTTATTTAACCATTTATTACTGTATTTTTTTTTATCGAGCATTAGAAAAAACTAAATCAAAAGTTTGAATCAATAAAAGCAAAATTTAGTATCAAGCATTAGAAAAACAAAAACAAAAGTTTGAGTTTGAATCAATAAAAGCAAAATTTAGTTGTGTATATTTTGCACCCTGATTTCAAGTGCAGGCAGGTCAGTAAAGCATACACACTGTCTATGTTGATGACATTTTATTAGTGTAGTATAAAATTGTCGTCTTTGATAGATGCTTAATTTATAGCTGTGCTCTACTAGTTTGTTCCTTTAACTTTTATAAAACTGTTAAACTATAAATCTATAACTGAATATAGTCTGATCCAGTGTTTTTGCAGACATCGACTCATAAGTACTTCAGCTTTTTTCTCTTGTAATTTTAGTAAACATTAGAAAATATGCACTTCTCGTTACTCAGATCATTCTGTCAAATATACATGAGATAAATCCTCAGCTTTTTTTTTTTTCCTCCCTTCACATAAATATTTCATCTGCAGTTTTTCTCCGCGCCTCACTGCCTGTGTGATCTCCGTCTCTCTGAACTCCTCTACAGTAAATACAACATGAGCAGCTTTATGTGACGGCTGAGCCTCAGTGCTGTCACTTTGCTGTGACTGACGCAGACAGACTTGCTCTGGGCCCTCGGCTGTAATCTCAGCTCTGGGCTCTTCTCTGGGGGAACGGACGTCAAACTCAGTCAGTTCCAGGATGAAGAGCGAGGGGCCGTCGGCTCTCATCGCCCTCGTGCCAGTTGTAGTATTTCTGTGTTCTCTCGGGGAGAGCACACAGAGTCGACTTCACACCACCCACCTCTGCATTTCTGCTCTGAATGGAGCTGTACAAATGTGTGGTTATGTAAAAACCTCCTCCTCGGTGCTTTGTTTTTGCAGTGCAGTCAAACCTCATTTCACTGCAGGACTTAACCTGCAGGCAGATGCAAGAAAAGACTTGTGCTGTGTATCATGCAAATTGTGGTTGCCAAGTCAGCTTATTTTAAGCATTTTTTTTATTCTTAAATGACTTTTTTTTTAAATATCAATATATGTATAGTGAAGCTGTAAGACCTTTCTTGTATCACTTCTCTATCTGGCATCATGTAGTGTAGCTAACGTTAGCACAGCTAACAAAGAAGGACACAGCACCACCGTCTTTAACCATCCAAATTCTGCTCCAGTTTTTAAGAATATTCTTGAAGTGCAGTATGTCCGCCAGTTGTGTGAAGGGTTAATTTACACTAGAGTTAAAGGATTTCAAAGTTAAACTTTTTACTATACTTGAACAGTACAGAATGTACAGTAGCGCTGTAAACAACCAAAGAAAGTCTTGGTCGACTGAAGCCGTAAAATTTCTAGTGAAAATTGACTAATGGCTGTTATCAAACCAACAAAACTGTCATTGCTATGTATTTTAAGGCAAATTAGTGCATTTTTATTCATTTTTGGAGACTTTCTAGAATTTTATTAGTAAAGTGTATTACTGTGGTCAGTGGTTGACGTACTAAAAAAGTATATTTTCTCTGAACTTTACCATTAAAAAGGTCATCGCTATATATCTTAAGACAAATTAGTGCATTTTTATTTATTTTTGAAGACTTTTTCAGAATTTTATGATTATAGTATGTTGCTTTTAAGGAACGGTTCATGTACCAAAAACAATATTTGTGTATCCATTAAACAGGTCAAATATTCAGGAAACCACTGGACCCATCCTTTCTAACAAGGGGGGTCGGGGGGGGGGGGATTACAGCAACGAACAGCAGATAGTTCAAAGTAGTTCATATTGTTAAACTGTATTTTTGTTATGAAGAAAATATTTGAAGCACTGTATGTTTACCAGTTGTAGTCTGTTGAGGTGCAATAAATATTATAATTAGTAATAACCTGATCGCCTTGTTTTGTTTTTTTTTTCTCTCACAACAGCAATTTTCGCACAGACTCGTTTATTTCCTGGTAGCTGTGGGCTGCACACACCATCTGGGACGTTGGCTGTCTCTCTCTCTCCACAGTCGGACACAGAAGCTCAGACAAGGTACCAAGTCATCGCGTCTCACACTTCACCGCAGACATTAGAGATCTAAGAAATCTGCAAAACAAACAAATCACCACCCTACCATGGTCTGCAGTTTTCATTCCACAGTACCATATTCTCTTTACGAAGGTGGATCTGGGCCACAAGCAGGAAAAAAAAATCTAAAATGATTAAATAAACTTGTAACAATAAGAGAAAATATTTGTGAGTCATAGTGTTATGGAAATAAAATTGTAAATTTAGTGTTAAGTCAAAAAGGTTATGAGAAAAAAGAATTGTATAATGTTTATGAATAAAAAGTTGTGGCCTGAAGAGAAATAGTTATAAGTTCATGGGAAAATAGTTATGACAAAAAGATGTGAGTGCATAATTCCATGTTCTGAGAAAAAGGTGTAAGTTTACGAAAATAATTCATACATTCACGGGTTAATGTCCTACTACTGTATTTGGTAAAAAGAAAAAGAAGAGAAATGAGTCAGAAGATTAAGATGCTGATCATGACGCGATACCAATAAGACGGCAAATAAAACTATTTATGAACCCAGTACATTTTGACAAGAAAAATTACAATTTATAAATTTGTGACTTTGTTCTTGTGATTTGTTTCTTACAATGTAAAAAAAGAGGTTTATTTAAAAAATGTTCTATATAAAAATACAGAAAACATCTGTAAAATAAACAGGTAATAATGGAAAAAAAATGAATTCATGAAATATACTGTTTTTTTTATCTGTCAGAAGTTATTAAAACTTTTCAAGTTTCAAGTAAATTTTCAAAAATGTATTTTCTAAAAATTTTTCAAAAATTTATTTTCTATAAATTTTTCAAAAATATATTTTCTAAAATTTTTTCAAAAATGTATTTTCTAAAAATTTTTCAAAAATTTTTTTTCTAAAAATTTTTCAAATTTTTTTTTTCTAAAATATATTCAAAATATTTTTTTTCAAAAAAATTTCAAGTTTTTTTTTCAAAACGCTATATTTTCATGAGAAACATGCAGAAAAGATAAAATTTTGAAAAACAATTTTTCAAAGACTTTCATCAAAATTTTTGAACATCTGACCAAAATTTATTTTCTAAAAATTTTTCAAAAATATTTTTTCAAAACACTATTTTGATGAGAAAGATGCAGAAAAAATAAAATTTTGAAAAACAATTTTTCAAAGACTTTCATCAAAATTTTTGAACATCTGAGCAAAACACTTTTTCTAAGAATCTTTCAAAAGTATTTTTTCAAATCACTATTTTGATGACAAACATGCAGAAAAGATACAATTTTGAAAAATTATTTTAACATGATTTTTGTCAATTTCTTTATTCTTGACCAAAAATGACAAAAAGTTCACATTTTGATAGAAATTGTATTAAAAAAATTTCAGACAGTGCTTTCTAAATGCCCTAATTTTATGAGAAATATGCAGAAAAGATAACATTTTGAAAAAAAGTTTTTCAAAGATTTTCATTGAAGTTTTTCAAAATCTGAACAAAACATTTGATTGTGTTTTTCAAAAAAAATATTTTTTCTCAATTTTTTTTAAATGCTATAATTTGATGAGAAACATGCAAAACAGATAACATTTTGAAAACATTTTCAAAGATTTTCATCATAATTTTTTAACATCTAAACAAAACATTTTTTTCTAATTTAAAAAAAAACTTTTTTTCCTAAAAGATACAATTTTGAAAAAATACTTTGATGAAACAAAAATGCAAGATTATGTCCTAAA